GCGTGTGTGAGTGCGTGCGTGAGGGCGTGTGTGAAGGCGTCTGAGTGGTGTGTGCGAGTGCGTCTCTGAGGACATCTGTGAGCAGCAGCTGTGAGTGCGTGTGTGAGTGCGTGCGTGAGGGCGTGTGTGAGGGCGTCGTCTGAGTGGTGTGTGTGAGTGCGTCTCTGAGGACATCTGTGAGCAGCTGTGAGTGTGTGCGTGAGGGCGTGTGTGAGGGCGTGTGTGAGGGCATTGTCTGAGTGGTGTGTGTGAGGGCGTCTCTGAGGACATCTGTGAGCAGCAGCTGTGAGTGCGTGCGTGAGTGCGTGTGTGAAGGCGTCTGAGTGGTGTGTGCGAGTGCGTCTCTGAGGACATCTGTGAGCAGCAGCTGTGAGTGCGTGTGTGAGTGCGTGCATGAGGGCGTGTGTGAGGGCGTCTGAGTGGTGTGTGCGAGTGCGTCTCTGAGGACATCTGTGAGCAGCAGCTGTGAGTGCGTGTGTGAGTGCGTGCGTGAGGGCGTGTGTGAAGGCGTCTGAGTGGTGTGTGCGAGTGCGTCTCTGAGGACATCTGTGAGCAGCAGCTGTGAGGGCGTGTGTGAGTGCGTGCGTGAGGGCGTGTGTGAAGGCGTCTGAGTGGTGTGTGCGAGTGCGTCTCTGAGGACATCTGTGAGCAGCAGCTGTGAGTGCATGCGTGAGGGCGTCTGCGAGCGCACCTGTGAGCGAGCGATGTGTGCGTGTTTCTCCCAGCGCTGTTTGCACACGTCACCTGTGCCCCTGCTCCGAGTCCCCCAACCCACGCGCCTGTTTCTGTGCTTCGATCCCGGCTCCTGGCAAGGACCGCGCTGAAACATCCGTTCTCTTGCTGTGGGAAAACGTCTGCAGATCACACGTCGCTCAGCACGTTCTGGGGTGATTTCTTCGTTCCCCACGCAGCCCCCCTAGAGGGAGGCTTCTCCGTGAAGCCTTAGCTGGCCTGAGGGGGACCCTGAAGGAATCCATTGAATTCATGACTCGAGTGGGCACCTTTTCTTGTTAAGCAGCAGCTTTGTTGAGGGACGGCGCCAACGTTTGCAATTCAGAGGTTTTTGGTGTATTCGTAGCGTAGGTTAGCCATCAGCACGAAGCCTTTGGAACACTTTCCTCAGCTCAAAAGGAAACCCTGGACCACTTAGCTCTCACCCAAGACCCTTTCCTCAGCCCCTTTTGCAGCCACAGATCTCCTTTCTGTCACTAGACTTGCCTGATAGCTAACGGAAATGAAGTGACACGTGGCCTTCTGTGTCTGGCTTTCTTCACTGAGTGTGTTTTCAGAGCTCCTCTGTGCGGGGGGCCTGTGTCAGGCTTTCATTCCTTCTCATGGCTGCAGAATATTCAGTTGTGTGGATGGACCACGTTGTGTTTATTCGTGTGTCCATCGATGGACTTGGCGGCGGCTCCAGCTTTTGGCTGTTGTGAATAACTGTGGGAGGGTCCTGGACGAGGTTCTGTGTGGTTTTGTTTCTCTGAGGTACCTGCACGCCTGCACTTGGAACTGCTGGGCCACGTGGTGACTCCTGCACTTACTGTTGGGAAGACCCGCCGACCTCCTCCTCCTCCTCAAAGTGGCACCATCTTACTCTGTTAACAGCAAGGTTCTAGGGTTGTAATTTCTTTGCATCCTTGCCAACATTATCTGGCCTTTTTTTTTTTTTTTCTGAGATGGGGTCTTGCTCTGTCACCTAGACCGGAGTACAGTGGCTCTATCACAGCCCACCACAGCCTCAACCTCCCAGGCTCCAGTGATCCTCCCACCTCACCCTCCTGAGCAGCCAGGACCACAGGTAGGAGCCACCATGCTCAGCTAATTTTGTTTGATTTCATTTTGTTTATTTATTTTTTTGAGATGGAGTGTCACTCTGTCACCCAGGCTGAAGTGCAGTGGTGCAATCTCGGTTCACTACAACCTCGGCCCCCCCAGGTTCAAGCAATTCTCCTACCTCAGCCTCCCAAGTAGCTGGGATTATAGGCGCCTGCCACTGTGCCTGGCTAATTTTTGTATTTTTAGTACAGATGGGGTTTCACCATCTTGGCCAGGCTGGTCTTGAATTCCTGACCTTGTGATCCACCCGCCTTGGGCTCCCAAAGTGCTGGGATTACAGGCATGAGCCACTGTGCCCAGCCAATTTTGTTTTAATTTTTTGTCCTGCTGTGTTGCCCAGGCTGGTCTTAAACTCCTGTTCTCAAGAGATCTTCCCGACTCAGCCTCCGAAAATGTTGGGACCACAGCGTGAGCCATGGTGCCTGGCCTGGTGTTTTGTTTCCAGCCATCCTAGCGGGTTGCAGTGGAACCGCACTGTGGTTTTCCTTTGCGTTTCCTTAGTGATTGGTGATGTTGGCTGTCTCTTTGTGCGCGTCTCGGCCATTTATATGCCTTCTTTGGACAAATGTCTAGTCAGATTTTTTGCTCATTTTTATGTTGAGTTACAGTACTTGTAATTTTATTATCGGTTATATGAGTTGCAATTTTTTGTTTGTTTTAAGATGGAACCTTGCTCACTCTGTTGCCCAGGCTGGAGTGCAGTGGTATGATCTCAGCTCACTGCAACCTCCACCTCGCGGGTTCAAGTGATTCTCCTGCCTTAGCCTCCTGAGTAGTTGGGATTACAGGTGCGTGCCACCACATCCATCTAATTTTTGTATTTTTAGTAGAGATGAGGTTTCATCATGTTGGTCACACTGGTCTTGAACTGATCTCAGGTAATTCGCATGCCTTCGGCTCCCAAAGTGCTGGGATTACAGGCATGAGCCACCGCACCTGACGTCACTTTCTCGGTAGTGTCCTTTGAAGCACAGACACTTTGATTTCGATGAGTCCAATTTATTTTGTTGCTCGTGCTGTTGTTTTTGTGTCTAAGAACCTATTGACAAATCTGAGATCATGCAGATTTTCTTCTATGAATTTTAGGGATTTAGCTTTCACATCATTGGTCCATTTTGAGCTTCTCTTCCTTGAGAGATGGGAATACTGCAGCCCCAGGAGCTTCTGACTCTGGTGCTTGGCCCTAGAGCAGAGCCTGGAAGCAGGTCTGCAGCCTGTTCCCCCATCCAGGGAGGGCAACCCCATTGTTGTGGGTTGAGCCACCCTCCAAAGCCTTGGCTGTGACTCCGCCGCCACCATGGGGCCTGGGTGGGCAGGAAAGGCCGGGCCAGAGCTGCTGTGCTGAACTGGACGTTATGCTGCTCCGTAGCCCAGGCAGAAGCTGGTCGCATCCTTCTAAATTTGTCACCTGTCCCACTGGGAGAGTCTGGGAACCACCTGTGTGTCTTCTGACACGTGTCCTTCTGTCCCCAGATGCAGACCTGACCGTCACTGAAGCCAGCAGCTCCGACAGCCGAGGAGAGAGGCCGGAGCTCTATGCACAGGTCGAGGAGGGTCTCCTGGGAGGAGAAGCCAGCTATCTGGGCCCTCCCCTCACCCCGGAGAAGGATGACGCTCTGCACCAGGCCACGGCGGTGGCCAACCTGCGCGCAGCGCTCATGAGTAAGAACAGCCTGCTGTCGCTCAAGGCGGACGTGCTGGGGGACGACGGCCCGCTGCTGTTGGAGTACTTGCCCCGAGGGGCCCACTCACTGTCCCGTAAGTGCAGGCCCCGGGGGCCGCCTGGCTTCAGTGTGAGTGTGAAGGCTGAGAGTTGCGAGTCCCCGCGATGAGACGAGGCTGAGGACCTGTCCCTGCTGCTCGGCCACCTCCTGGCCTCCCCGTTTTGGGAGGTGGGAGGCGTATCACGGCCTGGACGGGACTCTGGGGTCCATGGGGAGTTGGCTGTGGAGTGAGGAGAGGATGGACATGCCGTGAGGGTGGCAGGCAGGGGAACAGTTGAGTGCTTGGTGGAGTGTCTCTCACCCGAGGCGTTGGGCTGAATATGTACACATGGAGTTAACAAACTTGGAAATGGGAGCCTGTCCCCCACAACCCTACTCTGGGTGATAGCAGGCTCGGTGCAGGATCGGGGGTCTTTGTGCTCCAGGGACGGGCTCGGGTGCCCCCTGCTGGCCACTCTGTTGCCTCTGTGCTGAGACGAGTTTCAAGGAAGGGAGACGGGGCGGCGGTGGAAGGGAGACGGGGCGGCGGTGGA